CTTGGTGAAAGACCTAAATTCTTTGCAATTTTGCATTGCGAAATGTGATTTTTGATTTATTTGACACTTCTCTCGGGAAATTTGGCACAAAGTGATGAGCCATGATCCAGCTTTGTTTGCAAAGACCAGAGGCGGACAAAGTACTCAACTCCATTACTTGAGTGAAAGTACTACAACAGTAACACTGCTTTAACAAAAAAGCAAAACAGCAAGACTTTTGACATCAAAACAAAAATTGTAAAAATGCTGTCTAATCTCTCTCGCTGTACTTTGATGTCACATACAGAACGGTCTGTGCAGTGCTGCTTCAAGTCCAACACCTATTGTGTTTTATTAGGAGATGCACAACAGTTCTTCTGTTGCTTTATAGGTAATATTTTCACGTACACAATTTAGCAAAATCAGACAATATTGTGTCTAATATATACCACAATATTAACTTCTCATTATTGAATTGTTGTAATTAAATATCACATTTGGAACTGGTCAGTGTTCAAAAAATGCTGGGAAATCACTTCATGTAAACCTACAAGAGTGATTACTGATAAACTGTCTAACTGCTAACGACTTTCTACTTCGAGGATCTTGATAGAAATGTAGTGGAGTGAAAAGTACAATATTTGTCTTTCAAATGTAGTGAAGTTAAAGTCATAAGTTCCAAAAAAAATTATACTCAAGTAAAGTACAGATACTCAAAAAGTGTACTTAAGTACAATACTCAAGTAAATGTACTTAGTTACTGTCCGCCTCTGGCAAAGACTGAGATCAGAGGCGGACAGTAGTGAAATAGTTTTACTCTGCTGTAAAAGTACTTTTCAGATGTCTGTACTTTATCAGAGTGTTTTTCTTTAGAAAACTTTACTTCACAACATTCCAAAGCATAATATTGTACTTTTTACTGCACTGCGTTTCATATTAAATATAATTTAATACTTAATTAAATTAGAAATCTATTACTTTCTTACTTTTACTCAAGTAAAAGTAATTCAAAGATTTACTTGAGTACAAGAAAGTACTACATTTTTAATGTTCTTAAGTATTCTTGTTCTTAAGGTAAAACAAACAACAACATTTATTTATGAAATGAAGTGCAGTGCAGTAAAAAGTATGACATTATGCTTTGGAATGTAGTGAAGTAAAGTTTTCCAAAGAAAAACACTCTGATAAACTACAGATACTTT